CTGCCTAGTCCAGCTTGATAGTCCAAGAAACACTATTCTTGCTAGGCAAGACATACCTCTTTGAAATAAATGATTACAAAATTGTGCCGGTATTAGAAGAAAAAGTCATTTTTTAATGTTAAATAACAAAACCCAAAACTTTAGTTGTCAATTCTTACACTGTTAAGTCCAGAGAGGGTATCTAGGTGACTACAGCAGAGTAATATACACATTCATTGCTGTAAAGTAAAAAGAATGTGTCTCACTGTATTATAGTCACATCTTATAAACATTATTCTATCTGCAACTTCTGTGCATCCTAATTTTACTTAAAATAGCTATGTAAGTATTTTTCTTATCCAATCTAAATGTATGGTTAGAGAGACATAAGTTTAATCCAACAGTTTTTGTTGTTGTCGTTTTTTGAGACAGAGTCTCGCTCTGTCATCCAGGCTGGAGTGCAACGGTGCGACCTTGGCTCACTGCAAACTCTGCCTCCCAGTTTCAAGTGATCTCCTACCTCAGCCTCCCCAGTAGCTGGGATTAAAGGTGCCCGCCACCATGCCCGGCTAATTACCTGCCACCATGCCTGTATTTTTAGTAGAGACAGGGTTTCACCATGTTGGCCAGGCTGGTCTCGAACTCCTGACCTCAGGTGATTACCCCCCTCTTTGGTCTCCAAAGCTGGGATTACAGGCATGAGCAACTGAGCCCGGCCAACCAGTTAGACTCTTAAGTCATTTCTTGAAATAGCAAACATGAATACTTACAGAACATTAATCAAATCAGTAAAAATACAACAGCTATACCCTTCTTCCAAATTAAAGACCATTAATTTTTCTTAAAATGTATTACTTCTAATTTTCAATGTACTGTTATAAAGTTAAAAACAAAACAGTACTAAGTACTAAGAACAAATCCCAAAGTCATGCTAATCAAGTGATTTTGCTAACCTCTCTGCACATCATTTTTTAAACTCAAATAGATTTTCAATGGTTTACAAAAATTCATTCTGTAGTTCCACAGAAGTGCTTCATATATCGTGTAAAGCTTGACCCCAAAAAATTAATATATTTCTTTTTTTTTTTTTGAGACAAAGTTTTTTTGAGCTTCTGTCTCCCAGGCTAGAGTGCTATGGCACAATCTTGGCTCACTACAACCTCCGCCTCCTGAGTTCAAGCAATTCCCCTGTCTTAGCCTCCTGAGCAGCTGGGATTACAGGTGCCCGCCAGCACGCCCAGCTAATTTTTGTATTTTTTTTTTCTTAGTAGAGACAGGGTTTCACCATGTTGACCTGGCTGGTCTCAAACTTCTGACCTCAGGTGATCCACCCGCCTCAACCTCCCAAAGTCCTGGGATTACTGGCATGAGCCACTGTGCCCACCTTAACCTTAATATAGCTTAAAATATACACAAAACAACAGATATGTTCAAATGTGTTATAATCCAAATTTTAACACATTTTAAAATGACCAAGTCATCTTGTTGCCAAGCATTTGGTGATGACCATAAAGATCCTTTTCATATATCTATTTTAGTAAGAGAAATCTAAGACTACAAAGTGACTTATTTAAAAAACCAGGTTGCAAATATAAAAATGTGCAACTCCAACTACATAAAACAAAAATTTCATGCTGGTATACAACCAAAATAAAATATGAAAATAAGCTACACCTGTTACTCAGATCACTGCACTCAAATTCATAGATTTATCAAACAGCAATTTTTCTCAGTAACAAGTTTGTAAGTCTTACATATTGGAGATCTGCATAAGAACTTTTTGATCTGAATACTTCAAAAGTCCTGTTCAGTTCTATGCTTTGACAGGAGTGTAAGAAAATTAACCAACTGAAATGTTTTTAATTAAGGAGGAAAATGCAGGAAGTCAAAACAATATATTTCTTCCCGAACTTGAAATGCGCTATTTGTGAATCCAATGAGAGAAAACACTTTGAGTTTGGGTTCTCCTTGCATTCTCTAAAAAAATCACATGCAGGCAGGGCACAGGTGGCTCACTGCTATAATCCCAGCACTTTGAGAGATTGAGGTGGGCGGATCACCAGAGCCCAGGAGTTCAAGACCAGCATGGCCAACATGGTGAAACCTCCCCTCTACTAAAAATCCCCATCTTCACCAAAACTACAAAATTAGCCAGGTGTGGTAGCACATGCCTGTAGTCCCAGCTACTTGGGAGGCTGAGGCAGGAGAATTGCTTGAACCCAGGAGGCAGAGGCTGCAGTGAGCCAAGTTTGTGCCACTGCACTCCAGCCTGGGCGACAGAGACTATATGGCAAAAAAACAAATAAACAAACAAAAAGAGGCCAGGTGTGGTGGCTCATGCCTGTAATCCCAGCAGTTTAGGAGGCCAAAGCAGGTGAACTGCTTGAGGCCAGGAGTTTGAGACCAGCCTGACCAACATGATGAAACCCTGTTTCTACTAAAAATACAAAATTAGCCAGGCGTGGTGGTGCACACCTGTAATCCCAGTTACTTGAGAGGTTGAGGCAGGAGAATCACTTGAACCCAGGAGGCAGAGGTTGCAGTAAGCCAAGATCACACCATTGCATTCCAGCCTGTGCAACAAGAGCAAAACTCCAACTCAAAGAAAAAAAAAACACACACACACACAATCTGAATAGCCCAAAGTCTTCTTATAATAAACGACAGTTATTATAGGATATATAAATAATATTGTCAAATTGGATGGAGACATATTAATGCTAGAGAGACAGAAAATATAAAATATTACATTTCTAATTATACCACACCTTTTGACGCTAAAGAGTTTCAGCATTTCATATCCATTCTTTCCATCATATTAATACCAGAGCATCTGACTGAAGGTAAAGATTCACTTTGTCTCAAATGCATTAACATTAAGTTTGTATACCTCTGTACCTCAAACAAGGGCAAAATACAATAAAACTGAAAAATGAACACTGTGGTTCAAAGATAATCTCTGTATCCACACAGAAGTTAAAAATGTTATATGTTAGCATATGTGTCATACCTGAGTGATTCAGGGTTGTCTCACCACATGAGATACAAAAGCCCAGCCCACAGAAAAGTAGGAACCACTTTGTATCTTTCTTCCAACTGTTTAAAAGGATAGGTGAGACAGAATAGACAGGATGCACTAAAGAAAGATGCCATAAATATGCAAAATATTTTTAAACTGTCAGAATACTTTGTAAATGAATCTAAAAGCATTTACATATGTTCCTAGTGTATAATAAAAGTACTTATTTAGTCAAAGCCAATTAAAAATCATCAGGTTATCTTCATCTTACTGTCTAGCACATAACAGCATCACTAGTTGATGTTTTTAAGTAAAGAAATGTTCAATTCTAACCTAAATCATTAAGCGAAACAAGAATCACATTCTGGTATTACAGAAAAGCAGCATTGCTTTCCATTAGAATACATATGTTGCCATTATAGAAAAGTATTGATTTTACATTTTTTATGTTCCTCATCTCCAAATATCTGCTAAACATAACCAACTATCAAGCTTCCCCTATCAACATAACTAAGAACAAAGAAAAAAATCCTAGACAGGCAAATCTTTAGTGAAAATATGTGGTGATAAGCATCATCCATTTATTTGAAAGATCTAATCCTTGATTCATTGTATTTGAATGATCTAATTCCTGAGATGAATTTCAAACTCATTAGAGAAGTTATATTCATTCAAGTTAGCAGTATTTAGAAAACAATTACAGACTGTAAATTGTACAGACACACTGAAAAAGAGGCTATGTTAATTCTGATCTGTTGGTTTTGAAACAAAGTGGTATAAAAATCTAATTGATAACTGTGGTTATCAACATCACTGGGTTTTCATTGACACATATTAAAAATCAGTGTGGACATGTATTGATCATTTTAGAACGTGAATGATGGGTACATGGAGGTTCATGTACTCTTAAAATTTAAAGTTTCCATAATAAACTTAAAAAAAACCACACACACATTTTGGAATTGGGTTACAATAAGAGCTCCAATACATGCTATTTGTATTACCCTGTGGGCTACCTGCTAAGACTGAAGGAAAGTGACGTGGACTGTCCCTAGAATGATGTATATTTAACACAAGTTACTATTCCCATATCATCCTTCACAATGTATAGTCAGCAAATTCTTAACTATTTTTTGAACCATGTGGATTGAATACTTAAGCAAAAATAACTCACCTCTGACTCTGACAAGTTACAATATCAATTGTCAATGGACTTCACTGATATTTTATGATTAGTTTCAACTGCCTGAAGGAAAATATGATTGGCTATCTTCATCTTCCCCTCTAGCACATAACGTGGTTGCCTTAAAACCAACAAATTAAATGATAATTCTCACCTAACACATTCAAAAATGATCGCTAAGTGAAAGATGGTCAACATGGAAGACGGAGAACCAAGAAAGTTACTAGATCAGCACACTGGTCTGATCAGCATACTACTTGGAGAACAAGACAGTATAAGAGGAGTGGACTCCATCCCTTTCCTAAGCAAAGACAAGAAAAAGATCTAGCAACTTATGAGCCTTGGGTCAAAATTTGTGTTTCCAACAGACATAAACAAAAATATAATGGTTATTTCTATGTTTCCAATCCATTTAATCAATTAGCCATTGTTTAAGGAAGAAAAAATGTTAAGGTTGCATGCATAGCATTCAACAAGAAATAACTTTAATTCCCATTTTGGAACTCTAGAGGGCACTAGAAATATGCCCTCCTTCGCACCACCCCTCCTCCCCGGTAACGTGAGCAGCTGCAGAAGCCCGTCGTCTGGTTGCTGAGGTTGGTATTGCAGCAGCAGGAGCGATGTCTGCAGCGGTGGAAACAGCAGCGCCCACTCCCAGCTGCCTCACCAGCCATTACCCAGGCTTCGCCTTGGGGGCAGCTGCCACCCAAGGGAAAGCTCCTCCCCCTCAAAACAACGGGGAGGGCCAGGTCCCATGGCTGAACCCCTACAAACTGACAATGTCCTCTACTAGCAACAAACTGGGGGCAAAAGACTCACAATGGGGGTGTTTTCCTCCTCACTTTCTGCCAAGGATGCACCAGACAAGGTTGAAGGCGATTCTTGGTCCTGGGATAGGAGAAAAAATGAAAAACGTATCAAGAACATAGAACCTGATGGGAGAACCCAACCCTTTCTGCCAGAAGGAGGCAGAGGAGGGAATAAGAGGTCAAGGAGGTTCGGTCCTTCTATTATTACCCCCACCATGCGCACAACAGCCCCCTCCTGCGTAAGTGGGGCAAAACAGCGCAAAATATATATCTGGGGCCAAAACCCTTGTGAAAAGCAAAATCTGGAAGGGAGGGGGGCCTGAGGACACCGAGCCTGCTCCTGGAAGGGAGGGGGGAAGGGAAAACGTTGCCTCGACGCCAGTAAGGGATTTGTATTCCCTCCTAAATTTGCCCACCCAGCTTCATCCCCGTCACTCCAAGTACCAATTCAGAGGTAAGAGGCGGCTCACGTCACCGCTGGGCCGATATCGCCCACATTTGCCCCAAGCAGTTGCCCTGGGCCCGAGGTTTGCCCCCCCCTGCAGTCGGCGACCGGCAGCGCTGCCTCCCCGTCCGCCATTAGAGACCCAGCCAAACAATACGTGCGGAGCAAGAGCCGCGCAGCGCAGCGCGGAGGGAAAGAAGAGCGAAGGAGGGGACCCGGCGGGGCAGAGGCGGCTGCTCTCGCCCCGAAAAACTTGGGGACCTCAGCTCTGGCGGACCGGGTGGCAGCACGGCCCCGAGAGCGGAGAACCGGCCGGGGCGCCCCTCCCCCGCCCCCCGCAGGAGAGAAAGGAAAATGCCCCGCGACCTCCCCGGGCGGCCCGCACCCCCGCCCCGCCGGCCCCGCCGGCCCCGCCGCCCCGCCGGCCCCGCGACCCCCGCCGCTGGCGGCCGCCTCACCCAGCCCTCCCGGCCTCGCCCGCACTCTCCTAGCCCCTCGGGCCGCACGCAAAGGCGCCTGTGACATGAGAGCAGCCCCGAGCTGCCCCCGAGGCCCCGACGCGGCAGCGGCGACGGCGGCCGCGCCGCGGGGTATTAATCCTGGGTCGGTGGGAGGCTCTGGAGGCTGCCCTCACCCATCTCCGCCTCCCCAGTCGCCTCCGCCTCCGCCTCCTCCTCCGGAGGCTGCGCTGCTCCCAGCCACCCCCACTCTCGGCGGCCCTGGACTGGAAAGACAGCGGGGATAAGCCTCACCCGGTTCTGGCTGTGGCTCCGCGGAACGAACCTCCCCTCCCCCGGCCCACCCCCCTTCGGCGACACGCACAACTCCGCTCGGTCCAGTCCCGGCTTTAGCGCTGGTGAGGAGGAGGAGGCGGAGGAGGTGGCGGCGCGGCCGAGCCCGGGGAGGCCCCGCCCTCCGCGCGCTCGTTGGCTGGTGGAGGAGGCGGCCCGGGGCACCTCTGGCACGCCCATTGGCTATGACGGCCGTCCTTCAGGACCCCCCCTCGGTGGGGTGGTCCGAAGGGCTGTCCGTCAGGCGCACGCCACACCCCCGGCCCTGCCGTTCCACTCCCGCCTCCGCCGGCCCTCGACTCCCGGCCGCGTCCCCTCCCCGCCGGTCCCCCGCCCCCACCCATAGGGTCCGCCAGGGTCAGAAGCCGGAGATTCACTGCCCGCCGCACCAGCTTCGCTTCGGACCCTAGGGGCCCGTGGCTCTCCGGTACCTAGACAGCCCTGGAAACTCCGGCGGGGCCGCCTGCCCTCGCCCGAGCCCGGGTGCCCAGGCCGCGGAGCGGCTCTCAACGCCTCTGCCCGAGGAGAGCCGCGGCCTCGATGCCCCAACGCCCTCTCTGTCCAGTTCCTTGAAGGCCCCCACGAGGGGCGAGGCCGAGGAGGCGCTGGAGTGGGGCCGAGTGGGCTTTCGGGGCCGCTGGTGAAGTGGAACCCTGAGCGCGCTGGGGGCAGTGGAGGCCCTTCCACCCTCTCCGCGCCCCGTGGGGAATAGTCCCCCACCTCCCGCCATGGCTGCAGCAGGAGGAGACGACGTCCTCCATTTTGTCGGAACGGCTGTAGGAACTTAGGACCCCTTCAACACCAAACCCCGTGGGGCCGGGAAACTTGTCCCCGGGAAGCCCCGACTGGGCTCTGCCATTCGGCCAAGGGAACAGCCCCGGCTGCCGGCGTCTGCGTCCGCGGGGCCGTAGGGGACGGGCGCGACGGTGGAGAGACCCAGACAACGCTCCCCGCCTCCATCAACCAAGATGGAGGGAGCTGCGGGCTCCCCTGGAGCTGGGCTCCCGCCGGTTGGAGGGGCCGGAGCCCGCCCTGGGTCGTCCCTGGGCGCCGCCGTCCTCTGCTCCGCAGCTCGGGGCGCTGGCCCTGCCCAGGCCTCTCCACCGCCTGTCACCGTCTCCTGGTCCTCAACGGTTGATGGAGACTCCATGGAGGCTCCCTCCACACACAGCCCGTTCCATCGCGGGGCGCACCCGCTGCGGCCCCCGGGGGGGGAGCGGAGTCAGGGACAGACGGCGCCCGGGGAGGGCAGGTCCCACAGGCCACCTCCACGAGGGGTCTTCTCTTTTGTTCCTCGTCTACACCTACGTCTTCGGCGGACGTCATGGTGCTGAACCATTTCCAAGACCACGTAAAGATGGAAGCAATGCCGCTTTCGTCTCGCCCTGGCGGTTCTTAGTGGGATTACAACTGATGTTGGTTATTTTCCCACCCAAATGGATGGGCAACTTCTCAACTTCACTTATCTGACACCATTGACTATTAATAAACAGATATAAAACAGCTTCAAGTTCAACACGCTGTTGATGAACGTGAAGTTTTTAGTGAAGTTAATCATCCATGAAAGCCTGATGTGTAAACTAATAGACATAACTTACAGAGGATGATCTAGTAGAAGTTGAAATTCATCAGTTAAAACTAAGTAGGTAGGGGGTCCAAAGTGGCTCCCGCCGGAGGTCATGGCGCTCACGAAGGCGAGGTCATCAGTTCAAGGCTAACCTGAGCAACCTCATAAGCTCAAACTGATTGGCAAAAAAAAAAAACACTTAAGTAGGCTTTCTACCTTGGACTTAATACTTTGAATATCCGGTTCTTTTTTATTGGAAAATATTCACAAAATGTACATGAACCAGCTTTTCAAAAAGTATCACTGATTTTTAGGAAACTTTCGTGACTAAAATTGTTGAGTGTTGAATACACTAAAATGTAAGATTTTATATTACACAGTACTGTTTTAGATTGAAAAACTATCATCACAACATAAACATCAACAAAAACAGTCACTATCATCAAAACAGAAACATTCTCTACTACCAAATTGTAACAATTCGGTGAAAACTTACACCATACCTTTTCTGCTGCCAGATCCTATTGCAGTCGCTTCAGCTCATTGAGTTTATATTTAGAAGAGTAAAGTAGACTTACTTCCAAATAAGCTCTGTGATAAACGATAGATTGCGTTGCTACGCAGTGTTCAATTGGAGCGCTATGCTGCTACTAATTCCCTAGCATTATTGCTGTTTTATATAACTAATGAGCAACAGTGCTAAATATAGTATTTATTATTCACTTTTAAAAAAAATTCATTCAGGTACATTTGTCCGTGAAACTGTTCACTGCTTTGCTGGTCTGATATCAGGGAGGATTTTAGTTGAGAATTTCGAACTAGGGAAAAAAGTCTTTCTCATAATATTAAAAGCAGACTTAACTTTATATAAAAGTAATTTTAAAGATCAATGTTTGAATGTTCGAAACAGCATTATTCATAGTTTCCAACATCCCAAAAATATCCATCAACTGATCAATGGATAAACAAAATGTGGTACATCCATACAATGGGATATTATTTAGAAATAAAGAGGAATGAAGTTCTGATATATGCTACAACATGGACATACCTTAAAGACGTTATAAGTGAATAAAGAAGACACAAAATACCACAAAATATTTCATTTACAGGAAATGTCTAGAATAGGGAAATCTGTAGAGACAGAAAGTAGATTAGTGGTTACCCAGAACTGGAGGGGTGGGAAGTAGGAAATGTTAGCTAAAAGTTATGAGGCTGTTTAATAGAGTGACTAAAGTGTTCTACAATTTAATGAAATGATTGCGCAACTCCTAATATACTAAAAACCTCTGAACATACCTTAAATGAGTGACTTGCGTGATATGTGAATTATATCTCAATAAATCCACAACTAAATCTGCGTGTACGGCCTGGCACGGTGGCGCATGACTGTAATCTCAGCACTTTGGGAGGCCCAGGCAGGTGGATCACAAGGTCAGGAAATCAAGACCATCCTGGCCAACACGGTGAAACCCCATCTCTACTAAAAATACAAAAATTAGCTGGGCATGGAGGCGCATGTCTGTAGTCCCAGCTACTCCAGAGGCTGAGGCAGGAGAATAGCTTGAACCCAGGAGGCAGAGGTTTCAGTGATCGGAGATTGAGCCACTGCACTCTAGCCTGGCGACAGAGCAAGACTTAGTCTCAAAAAAAAGCCTGCATGTGTGTGCATCTGTGTGTATGTAAAACTATTCTGTACCTGTCAAAAAGCATACAAGACATCCAAGAGGCAACTGGAAGACATGAGCAAAAGACTTGTATTTCAAATATTTAGCCACTCAAAACCTCAGAAAGTTACCTTCTCTCTGAGCCCACTTCCTTATTTGTAAAATAAAATAATAAAGAGTTGTTGCCGGGTGTGGTGGCTCACGCCTGTAATCCCAGCACTTTGAGAGGCCAGGGCCAGTGGATCACAAGGTCAGGAGATGGAAACCATCCTGGCTAACACGGTGAAACCCTGTCTTTACTAAAAATACAAAAAAAATAGCTGTGCATGGTGGCACTCACCTGTAGTCCCAGTTACTCCGGAGGCTGAGACAGGAGAATCACTTGAACTCAGGAGGCGGAGGTTGCTGTGAGCTGAGATCACGCCACTGCACTCCAGCCTGGATGACAGAGAGACTCCGTCTCAAAAAAAAAAAAAAAAAGAAAAGAAAAAAAGGTGTTGTGAGAACCAAGTAACTTCTGCGAAAGTGATATAAAAGTGTTAGGTTTAATTGCATTTCAAAAACCAAGAGCTCAACATTAACTGAGAAGTAGTATAACTGACTCTGAGCACAGCTTAAAGAGCCAGACTGCCCCCAACTGAATTCTGTTGTTACCCACGACTAGCTAGATGCTTTTAATTATGTTTAAGCTTCTCTAAGCCTCTGATTGGTTCACCATGTGTAAAATGTAGATAGTAATTCCTCTTTCATAGAGTTTTTTAGGGGGTGAAATGAGCATACACATGTAAAACATACACCTTACACCTCACTTGGTAGACCTCAGTAAATTTTAGTTGTTTTTATCATTCATACTTGACTCAATGAAATATTAGAAAAAATTTATAATATTCTGTGATAACCATATTGATATCTTTAGCACCAATACTATGCTACTGCATAATCCAAATAGTAATAATAATTGCAGTAAATAAAGCAAGTAGTCTTGGGGCCAGACGTGGTGGCTCATGTCTATAATCCCAGCACTTTGGGAGGCCGAGGCCGATGGATTACTTGACATCAGGAGTTTGAAACCAGTCTGGCCAACATGGTAAAACCCCATCTCTACCAAAAAATACAAAAGTTAGCCAAGCAGGGTGGTGCATGCTTGTAGTCCCAGCTACTCAGGAGGCTGATGCGGGAGAATAGCTTGAACCTGGTAGGCAGAAGTTGCAGTGAGCCAAGATCATGTCACTGCACTCCAACCTGGGCAAAAGAGTGGGACCCTGTCTCAAAAAGAAAACAAACAATATTTTAACAATTGAAACACTGAAGAAAATTTTCTACAAGAGAATGAACAAAGACTGAAACAAGTTTAATATTATTAATTGATATATAAATATAGTATTCTTGGGTAGGATGCTTCTCATAGGATTCAAAAATAAGAATTTTAAATAAAAATAGTTGGTTTTAACATGCTGACATAATTTGCTTATACTGAATGATGTTTGGTATTATAGCAATCAAAAATCCACAATTTTGCTTCATATTGTGGAGAAAGGGTGAAGTTCCTTAGCCCTAGGATTCTTGGCTCCAGAATCCATGCTGTTAAGTATGTCATCATACAGCCTTTCTAGATAGCTTTCTCTTCGTTCTTAAATTTTAACTCTTAAACATGTCATCTTAGAAGATTTTAAACATGACTAAATAATGCATTCTAGATCCGTGGCTTATAAACTTTTTTTGACCATGACAACCGCTGGGATTTGCATTGTACATCAGCACCCAGTACAAATTTCTACTAGATACATGACTATATAACTGAAACACAGGATTCATGGAATAATTATTTCCTTCACTGTCCTA